GTATTGCAAGAAACCGAAACATACAAAAGACACTTGCTAGAAGCTACACCCACACCTCTTGCCAGCCAATTCAAAAATCCCAACAATAATAAGAAGGTTGGAAATGGGAAGAGTGGGAATGCTAATGCAGCCATGGCTCCAAATGGTGAAAAGGGTTCTAGTGATGAGAAGACAGCATAGCAGTTAGCAACAATGAAGGCTGAATTTGATAAGTATGGGAAATCACCTTGAGAACACAATTACAGCTTCCAATTCTTCAAGCAATTCATTGTCCACTGCCTTTGCACATTCAGGTACTCGTGTCATTGCTAACCATGCATCTAACTCAAGTAACCATAGGATCCCTTAATAATTTCCCCGAATCAAGGTGCCTTTGTGAAGAATAGGCAAATTGTGGATCAAATCCTAATTGCAAATAAGAGTGTGGAAGACTTCAAAAGAAGTGGGAAGAAAGGGTTAGTGTGCAAATTGGATCTCGGAAAGGCATACAATTTGGTGGATTGGTCGGTCTTATTGGAAGTCCTAGAGTCTTTTGGATTTGGGCAGAAGTGGTGCAGCTGGGTGAAAGGATGTATTAGGACATGGCACTATTCTATTTTGGTGAATGGTAAGGTGGTAGATCACTTCCCGGCTACTAGGGATATTAGGCAAGGGGACCCCCTTTCTCCTTTCCTTTTTACACTAATTGTTGAAGTCTTAGGGAAGCTCATTGAGAGGGCAGATTCTAGAAACTTGGTGAAAGGTTGGAAGATAGGGAGGGATAGGGTCCTAGTAACCCATCTACAATTTGCTGACAACATAATTCTTTTCTGTGGTGGGGATGAGGTAAGTTGGGTTAGTAATTTAAAGCTAGTGATCAATGTGTTCGAACAAGTGACTGATCTCAAAGTGAATTTAGATAAGAGTTGTGTGATTGGCATTAATTTGAGTGATAGTGAAGTGGAGGAAAGGACCCAAATTTTGGGTTGTGAGATTGCCCAATGGCCATTGATCTATTTGGGGCTGCCACTAGGGAATAACCCAAGTAAAAAGAGCTTTTGGAATCCAGTGATTGATAGGTTAACTAAGAGGTTAGATTCTTAGAAGAAAAATTACCTTTCCATGGGAGGTAGGATAACTTTGATTAAGTCAACATTGGCTAACCTGCCTGTTTACTTTCTGTCTGTGTTTAAAATGCATGAGGGAGCATGTGGGACTTTGGAAAAGTTAATGAGAGATTTCTTATGGGAACCAGGAGAGGAGAAAAGAGATCATAGAGTCAGGTGGGATATAGTTACCAAAACCAAAAGTGATGGTGGGCTTGCTTTAGGTAATTTGCAGAAAAAGAATGAAGCTCTATAGGGGAAATGGCTTTGGAGATTGACTTTGGAGAGGGATAAATTGTGGGCTCAAGTTGTCTTAAGTATTCATGGGCAAGCGGCAGATGGTTGGGACACAGGAGTATCATCTAGGGCTACAAGAGCTTCTCCTTGGAAATCCATTCACGCCATACTTCCTTCTTTCCTTCCTCTAATCAGGTATGACCTTTGCTCTGGTAACCTTGTGAAATTTCGGGATCATATTTGGGTGGGAAACACACCATTGAAAGAGTTATTCCCTTCTTTGTGTTCCCTTTCACGGTTTAAAAATAAGCCAGTCTCCACTTTCCTGACCACTTCTAATTCAACTATTGATTGGAACTTGGGTTTTAGAAGGGCCCTTAAAGACTCTGAATTGAACCTTATTTCTGACCTACTCAAAATCCTAGATGAGGTGGGTATTGACCCCTCTAGGAGGGATAGTAAGATTTGGGTCCCTTCTCCTTTGGGTGTCTTCTCATGCTCTTCCTTTTTCAAAGAATTGGCTCATTCCCCACCTATTTTTGGACTCCCCTTCCCGGTTTTGGATGTTTGGGGTAGACCAATCCCTCCCAGAATTAGTGCTTTTTGCCGGGAAGTCTTCTTAGAAAAGTGTAACACTTGCGACCTACTTCAAAGAAAAAGGCCTAATTGGTGTTTATCCCCGCACTGGTGCATCCTTTGTAAGGAGAATGGTGAGACTTGTCATCACTTACTGATATCTTGCCCATTTATTTTAGAGATATGGTGTTGGTTTTTCTCTCTTTTTGGTTGCAGGTGGATCCCTCTCTCAAATGTACAAAGCTTGTTCCATTCTACTTCAGTTAGGGGGTTGAAGAAGAGAGGAAAATTCTATGGAGATGTGTAAGAACAGCTATATGTTGGACAGTCTGGGAGGAAAGGAATCAAAGGACCTTTCATGGGAAAGAAAGAAATAAGGGTTCCATCATTGAACTAATTTCTATAAGGGTGGCTCATTGTCTAAGACTATGAAGCTCTTCGAAAATTATTCAGAAGGAGACGTCATTAGAAAATGGAAAGAAGTGGCTTGGTCAGCTCCAATAAAGATTTCATCTAACCCAATTTGGTCTCCTCCAACTTTGGGGTTCACAAAACTAAACTTCGATGGTAGCAGCAAGGGAAATCCAGGCCCGTCAGGTATAGGGGGAGTTTTCATGGATGAAGAAGGTCGAATTATTGCCATATATTCCGGTTTTATTGGATGGGGGATTCCCTTAGAGCTGAAACACTGGCTGTTCTAGAAGGGGTAAAAAGAGCCCGAGAGTTGAATATCAGAAAATTGATGATGGAAGGTGATTCTAAACCGGCTATCAATTGGCTGCAGAAGGACAATTTTAGTTTGTGGAAATTTCTGAATGAGAAAAAGAAAGTTAGACAATTCACTCAAAACATGGAAGTCAAGTTTCAATGGACTAAGAGGAGTGCCAATTCCTTGGCAGATTCATTGGCCAAACAAGGGGTGGGAAGAGTCAACTTTTTCTGGGCAATATTGTAAACTGAAATGTACTTATTGGGAGGGTTAAGAGTTTTTACCCCTCCTCTTGTATCTTTTTCTCTTAATATCTATTAATAAAAGTTTCTGTTATTTATCAAAAAAAAATCATAAGATCCCTTGGATTATTGATTTTAGAGCTTTTGATCACATGGCTGGTGTCTCTACCCTCTCCAGTTCTTATAAGTTGCTTTTTGGACAAGATAAAATAACCCTAGTTGATGGCTCTCTTTCCCCTATCTCAGGCAAGGGAGACATCAAGATCAAAAATGGCTTTACCCTCAACTTTGTCCTTCATGTCCCTAAACTTAACACCAACCTTTTATTTGTTAGTAGCTTAGTTAAATCTTTAAATTATTGTATAACCTTCTTTCCTTCTCATTGTGTCTTTTAGGATCTATAGTCTTGAAAGGTGATTGGGAGTGGCCATGAGGCGAACGGTATATACTTGCCAAATATTCCTGAGAAAGCCAAGAACCACCTTTGAAAGTTGCCTTTGGTTCCACTTCTTCAAAGTTTGCCACTCGTATCATGCTTTGCCATTTTCTTTTGGGTCATTTGTCTTTTTTTACATTTGAGTCATTTGTTTTCAAAATTATTTAAAGAAATAAGTCCATCGAGTCTACATTGTGAGTCTTGTGAGTTGTCAAAGCATTGTAAGAATAGTTATCCAATGACTAATAAAAGATCCACTTTTCCTTTATGTTATGTGCACTCTAAAATGTGCGTTGTCAATCAGTTCATGCATGCTCCTAGGGATATACACATGGTTGTAGCAAAGAGGATCTTGTGCTACTTGAAGGGTACACCAGGTAAGGGGGTTTTGTTTAGGAAGCATGCCCACACAAAACAGGAAGCCTACATAGATGCAGATAGGGCATGTTTGTTAATGGCAAGCAGTCTACATCTGGATATCGCACCATGGTAGGGAGAAATTTGGTTTCTTAGAGAAACAAGAAAGCAATTAGTGGTGGCTAGGTCTTTAGCTGAAGTAGAGTTCAAGAGTCTATGGCTATGGCCCATGGTGTGTCAAAACTATTATGATTGTGGTCTCTAATGAAGGAAATGGACATTAGTTACGCTAAACCACTCATGTTGTATTCTGAAAATCAAGCTACCATCGATATAGCATATAACCTTATACAACATGATTGGACCAAGCATATTGAGGTGGATAGACACTTCATCAGGGAAAGAGCGGCATCTAGAGAAGTGTGACTGACTTTCATTGCTTCTGAAGAGTAGTTGGATGATATACTTACAATGGGAGTTCCAAAAACAAAATGACAATAGTATGTAAGCAAGTTGGGCATGATTGACATCTAAGCTCAACTTGAGGGGGAGTGTAGCAATGATGGGTCGGATGGGCCATAGGAAGACAGCATTAGTTTTATTTTTTTATTTTAGGTTAATGGCCTCACACATATGGGCCTGTTAACAACTTTTATTTCTTTTCTTTAGCAGCCACCTTCTTAAGGGCATTCTTGTAGTTACTTCAAGTTTGTGATTAGAATTAATAAAAGTTAATTAGGAGAGGAAATGAGAGCTGATCGAACTTCACATATCCATCCTCCTTTTTTCCCATTCTTCTCCTCTCTCTTATTCCGATTTCTTCTTCTTATTTCTTCCTTCTTTCTCTTTGATTATTTCCATTTTTCTATTGCTGGTTTTTCTACCAAGTGAAATCATTTGCCCATCAAAAAGATACAATAGAATGAGATAGAACAACTTAGAGAAAGATAACAAAATGAAAAAGAAGAAAAAGGAAGCAAAGTCATTCCACATTCTACAAGAGTCATGTTTAATAAAGAAGTGTATATTTCATCCATAAAAATGGCATTCCTAGATAAACCCACATTCTGTAATTTCTTTTTTCTTTCTTTTTTGGGAGAGATAAGAGAGGTTATCTCTCCTTGTTGTACTAATGCTTAATCTGCTTCTATATCAATGAATCATTTCTGCTATTGATCAAGAAAGAAACAATTTTTCAGCACAAGCACTGCCAAAATAGTTGTATATTTCATTCAGTAGAAAATGCAAAGCCACAACTTCTCCACATTTTCAGAAACATAATGCAATATTAAAACAACATCCGAAGAAGTCTGCAGTTTATTTAAAGATATAATAGTATTCCAAATCCATAGTTGTACCTCTTTTACAGAAACAATGGGGCAAAGATCATCAAACTTATCAAACTTTTCTGCATAAGTTTTGTCAAAGTAGTCGTATATTGCATTCTTTAAAATACCGATAGGGTGTTGATCCCTCCGATGAAGCTGCATACCAAGCTTCGAGAATACTGTATCTGGAACATTGTTTGTGGGGTCGTCCCTCACCACATCTACAAGCTCAATCATCCAAAACCATCAAAACAGTTGAAAGAACTTCGAAGTCTCAGAGAACAAAAGCACCAAGAAAGAACAGCACACAACACAGAATAACTAGAATATGAATATTTAAATCACAAAACGCAATTTCACAAGATGGGTATGTACCATCTCTGCGAACCTACCCACCCAGAACAAAACAAAGACACAAATTGAAAAAATCCGAAATGCCCAGACCATAAAACGCAATTTAGTGAGGTGGGTATTTTTAACCATTTTTTGCCTATCTACGGAACAACAAACCATCAAACCAGTCGAAAGAACTCGAAAGAGACAGCAAAAAGGAAATACATCACTAGAATTGAAGAACTTCAACAGAACAAAAACATAAAATGGAATTGAACGAAGGAATTTTACCATCTCTTCCAATCTTGACTCCACCGATCTCTAGCACAGAAACAACTGGCTGTCGCCATTTGTGGCTCCGAACCTTATTTGCAGACAGAGCTGAAGATGTTGCATAAGTGGAAGAGAACGGAACAGTGAAGTTTCTGAAGCAGTATCTTTGGAACAAAGACGAGGGTCTGCAGACAATGGAGTGTGTGAGTGAGATAGCCATCGAAAATCCTCCGTTCACCTCACACGCTTGTTCGGAACCACGGATAAGTGTTTTACGCAGCAACTAATTGCCGGCGTTATGCCCCGTATGTGCGGCTGTCGATTATTTACGACTAGGGGACTAGGGGTGGATGGATTGAAGCGAGCCGACCCCTATTCGAACTCGGCTCGACGGAAGACTATAAGGCTTGGGTTCGAGTTCGAGTTCGAGCTCATTCGAGTTAGAGATTTAAGCTCAAATTTGGCTTAATTGGCTTGATTCAAAACTCAAAAACTCGAACCTCGCTTAACTCAAAAGCTCACAAGTTTTGAGTTTGGTTTAAATTCGACTGTGAACTATAAGCTTTCTATATAAATAAAAAGTTATATATATATAAATTATTTTTTATTTTTATGTATAAAAATTAAAAATATTATATATAATATTTCTATTATATATATAACATTTCCATATTTATTTTTTATACATATGATGAGACATGTAATTTATAATATTCTAAAATTTTAAACCAGAGCGTATGTAAATGAAAATTTTGCTGTTAAAAGAAAACTAATACCAGAAATTAAAAAAATAAGGACTGATAATACCAGAAAACTAATATCAAATAAGGATTTGGACGACGAGGGGCGCGACGCGTAAAAAAGGAATGGTAATTGTTTCCGGTTGTCAAAACAGTTCTGAGATTCTTATTGAAAAATTTAGTTAAATATGAAGGAACATTGATGACTGCAAGTGCTCACATGTTTACTACTGTTATTGGATCTGGAGTTCTCTCCCTAGCTTGGGTTGTAGCTCAGTTGGATTGGAGAGTAGGACCTGCTGCTCTCATACTCTTCGCTGTCATCACTTGGTTCACATCAGTTCTACTTGCTGACTGTTACAGGTCTCCTAACCCTGTTACAGTCTATTCATGAAAAGCCAAACTAGGTTAAAAATAATAATAATAATAAAAAAGAAAAGGTTCCTGAAACCAGTCTATTCTTGGTGAGATTTTTAAGAGAAATTAAACAAACCCTTCAGAATTCAAGTTCAAAACATTGATAAACCGGTCTTTCTTGAATGTCTGGAATCCTAATGGGGTTTCTAATTTTCCCTTTTCTTTTCTCATGAGGAATAATGATTCAGCTCGGTGGATTAGCTCAATATAGTAGCTTTGTAGGGGCTACCATCGGATACATATAAGTAATTTAATCCGATGCCTTCTTAGCTTTAAATGCTGTTCTTAACTTCTTTTCATTCAATTTTGGCTTTAATTGTTTGTAGATAATGTCTGGTTTTGATTTCGTATTGCTTTTCTCAATTAGGGCAGTTCAAATGTCCAACTGCTTCCACAAGAACAGCCACCATGCCAATGCGACACATCACACTATCCCTTCATGATCATCTTTGCATGCATTCAAATAATTCTCTCTCGAAAACCCAATTTTCACGAGCTCTCTTTGATTATCCATCATAGCAGCTATTATGTCATTTTCTTATTCTCTAATAGGAATTGGCTTCTTCGTAGCCAAAGTTGCAGGTTTTCAGTAAGTGATTCATAAAACTCTGAAACAAGATGGATAGATCAAGGTTCTAAATATCGATATGTCCGATACACTAGTAGGGGCATATTGGGTGATATCGATAGTGTTTTTTTACTTTTCTTTTATATTTTTTTTCAAAACCAGTTCAGTGGGCAGTTTAAGGCTCTTTCACCCCCTGAACCGGTCAGAACCCTGATACACCCTCTGTAGGGGCGTATCGGGGAGCTTCCAAAACAATATGTATCGGCCAATATGTGTCAATACTTTAAACCTTGGGATAGATACCCAAAAAGGATTATTCATTTTTCTTGGATGGGTTTCATTTTTCAGAGAAAAACCGTATTGTAAGGACTAGTTTGAGAGGGGTCGAAGTTGGATTGGATGTCACTGCAACTGAGGAAATGTGGAGGATCTTTCAGGCCATCAGAGACACTGCCTTTGCTTACACCTTCGCTCCTGTCCTCATTGAGATAAATTACCAGACCTTTTTATGTGTCATTTGTGTCATTTTCATAAAGGACATTATAAAGAAAATTAGATGACCTTTAGAGGGCATTTGCATCATTCCACATGCCACTTAACGTCTGTTAACAGTTTTAGACTAAATTGACAGTTTTCCAAAGTTTGGATATTACAGTGACACATTTTGAAGTTTGGGTACTAACTCAACACTATCCAAGTTTAAGTTACTAAACTGAAATGTCCCTATATATATATGCCTCACAAGTCGAGCTTTATTAGACTTGAGTTCAGTTTGTGAAAAGTTGGATTCGTATCCACCCCTATTCATGGCCTCTCTGAAAAGTCTGAATGACTAGCAAGAATCCTCGGAATGTAGATTTGGTGGGAAGAATTCTCGTAGAAGACCTTTGTTTCTTTCCTCTGGGATATAGAAGAGGTTGAGAATGACGCCATAACCATCACAGATGTTCTTTCCGGCAATGTGCTGTTCTTCAGTTATACGATCAATACTTCTCTTGTCTTGAGGGTATAAACCTCTTTCTAACAGGGGCCTAAGCCTCAAATTTGTGCGCCTCGACTCAAAGATAAGCCTTTTAAACCAATGCTTCCAAAGGCCAAAATATATTTCCTTTTACATTTTATTTAATTAATCATTTACCCAATTGGGTTTTGACAACGACAAAAAACCAAATTTTTTGTAATAACGGGGAAAAATGATACAACTTTTATTTTTGTTTTGAGCTGATGAAGTAACAAAAAATGGGGTTTATGTAACGTTTAAGACTTGATGGGCATACCTTTAAAAGTAGGGAATTAAAATCTATACCTTTTTGGGGGTGAGGGTGCTAGATTTGGTTTCCAAAGCAAACAGCCCATTCCTTCGATCTAGGGATGAGCAAATTCTTCGGCAGAAGCGACTAAGAGCTCGCAGGTCGCAGCCTGGGGTTTCTGTTGTACTTTGCTTACAGTGGATTGCTGGGGGTTATATCAGCTTAACACTTTATCCAGTCTCTAGTCTCTAAACTTTTTCCTCTCGATCTTATACAAGTTTTCCCGTTGCAAACAAGAGAGAGAGAGAGAGAGAAAGAGAGAGTTATTTTTCCTGGCTTAATGCTACATTACCTAGAGTGGCACCAAATACAATGGAAAAAATGGTTATACAACCTCTTTTCAAAGGGCATATACATACTAATTACAATTGGTTGAATACAGCAGCTCATGCAGCAATATGCAACCATGTTCTAGAGATAACCATCTCTACGGTCTTGTTCCTCGGCGGCCTTGTTAGCAGCTTGAACAGCTTTGAACCACAAGAATGCCTGTATAAGAGATGTGGATTAGATAAAGGGCTAAAATCTGATGAATCTTATACATTTATAAATGGTATAACTCTCCCTTATCCTTCTGATAGTTGAGCTAGACTTTAAAATACGGATTAGCTTAAGAGTATATGCAGAGATTTGATTTTCTTCCAATTCAGTGATCCTGAGCACCCAAAATTTGGTCCATATCTAATAGTTGTCCAAAGAGAGCAGCTAACCAATGCATAGATTTACCAAATTGGTTTACTTTTCTTGCCCTATCACATTCCAAGAGGCTAAAATTAGTGGCTTGATAAATGTAAAACATTTTTTATCAATTTAAATGTAAAGCATATATAATTGTATTAGATTAACAAGGCCTTATTGCTTGCTTGAAACTCCAGGTGTTGTAATATTATAAGAAAAGGATAGAACATGGAAAAGAAGGGTCAAATAGCTTACAGAAGTTGGAACACCAGTAAAGGCAAAGAACCCAAGCAAGGGTGCATAAAACACGCTATCTGAATTCAGCAACCCAAAAACAGGCTTCTGGTTCACATACTCAAAAACAGAACCAATCTGCATTGAAATTCAAAACAATTTCAACTATTTATTTCACAAGTTCTAAGAATTAAAAAAAAAAAGCAAAAAGAAAAAGGAAGTGAGGGAAGAAAGGAGAGAGTACCGCAGCTATTGCAGTTATAGTCGAGGCAAGCAAATAAACATAGAAGGGGATCTCAAAGGATTGTTGAGAAGCGATCTCTTTTCCTTCATCCTGGGCCCAAGGGGGTGGTACATCTGAGTCTGGTTTAGCCCAGGAGGGAATTGTCTCTTCTGAGTCATTAGATTTTGCTGAATCTTTGGTGATAGCTAAAACAACAAACCTATGAGACAACTTCTTTGTCTCACAATTCTGATGGCTTTTGCTAACTCTAAAGATAATAGACAGACCAAGGGGTTTATCATTTACTACTGAGCTTGGTTTGGAGAACGTTGGGTTGCATCTTCTTGAACTGTATGATAGATTGGAAATGCATAGTGGCACTGATGCAGATGCCATCCCAATGTCTACTTTTGTTTCTCTCTATTGTAGATACCTGATATAGAATCATAAGTTTTAACATCCCAAATTCAAAGTAGAATCATAAGCTGCTAAACAAACACATCATCAGAATTTTTTCAAGTAAAAACATTTTATCAAAATAGAAATAAAAAAGATATCATATCATGTATGTATCAATAGATTATGGACCAGTTTATACAGAACCAAATTTAAACAACAGTCATCTAGCATCCAAACCAAAAACATGTTTTGCAGTTTTAGTAGAAATAATTGTGACAATTAAGATTGAAGATAAGGAGAAATCCCAAATTGACCACTTCCGTTAACTTGGATCAACTACCCATAATGAGAGAGAAATTGAAGAGAAAGCTGCCCTTAGAATTAGGGTATGGTGGATGAAGTGAAGGAATGCATCTGGTGTGCTGTCTGACTGATGCTTAACAATGAAAATAAAAATAAAATTTATAAAATGACTATAAGACCAACAATGTAATTCAGAAGAAAATGCTAGACAATGAACAAATAACATGTCTAGAAAATGAATTAGCTGATATGAAGATGTTGAGGTGGATGAATGGCAAGACTAGAAATTATAGAATTTAGAAATGAGCATGTTCAAGAGGACTTGGGAGTAGCTCCAGTAGAGGGCAGGATGAGGTAAAGTCAACCAAGATAGTTTAACCATGTGTTTAGATGACAAATGACTACAACAGAGTGAATTGGTGCAAGTAGAAGGGTCTAAAAGAACAAGGGGAAAACCAAAGAAACAATGGGTTGAAAAGGTAAGAAATTATCTGAGAAACATAAAGAATGACTCTTGATTCATAATGACAAGACATGATTTGTGTAGCTGATCTGAAATATTTGGGGTTAAGGCTGAATTGTTTTTTTTTTTTTTTTTTGATCAATAACAGTGAAACTTTATTAATGATATACAAAATCAGAATTACAAGGGAGGGAGCTAAAAATTCTTAACTCCCAGCTACCCAAAAAACATCCTGACCATGCAGTGATTACAAAACAGCCCAAAATATAGTGTCTCTGTTTACCCCTTGCCTAGCTAGACCATCAGCCAATGCATTTGCACTTCCGTTGCATCAATTATAATGGAATCCCAATCATAAAACAATTTAGATGTCTATATATCCTTAAATTCCCCCAAGGTAGATTCCCATTGCATACTCAAAATCAACCACTCTCTGTTACAGTTCTTCTAACAATGTAGTCTTATCGTAAACAATGGGTGATTTCCATTCTTTCCAACTGCACTAGCAGACTGAAAAAGGGGTCATGCACAAAAGATTCACACATTTCTCACTCTTATGATCCATGGTTCAAATGCATAATGAAAACACCCTTCAGAAAACCAGATTCCTTTAGAAAAACCAAGAAACTTCCAACACAGCTTCTAGGGAGGAGGAAAAAAAAAGGGAACCCATCTTCCCTACCAGAAGGTGATCCATGGTAAGAATTCTATCCACAACAGAACTCCAGATAAAGGAAAATATTTTAGAAAGACGAGTAACTTCCAAGTTGATTTAGCTGGAATGTCCAAACTGAATAATCACCCCCTCATTAAGATCTGTCTCCTCTCCAGAACAAATCATCTCAACTTTTCAATTATTGTACTTCTTTATCCAAATCTTGGATCTGTCCCAAGATCTGATACCTATGAAATAAATAAACAAGCCTCTTTGTTTGAGAAAGATCGAAGGTCCGGGTGTTCATGTATCCGAGCAACATTCAAGTCCAACTTGCCCCCTCGATTAACGATGAAGATGTCGATTAAGATGTTAAAAGAATTTTGTATGAAGGAGCTCTAGTTATTTTGGAACTTATTTTGGTGGTTTTAAATGGAGAATAGTTTATTTTTAAACGACTCAAAAAAATGTCAAATGAAGATACAAAATGTCTTGACTAAATGCTAATTCAGATGAATCCTCTAGATTCACAGATAGGTAGGGAGGGAGGGAGAAAGAAAGAACTAAATGAACCTAATTCTTAACAATGGAGTCGGAATGCTAGAAAATATCTCACTTCCATATTCCACAGAGAAATATATATAATGTGGACCTCTTATCTTTACTGACTACTATAAATACCACATGCAAAGCACATGCCTTACAATCAGTACTTTCAAACAAAATACATTTAACTCTCTTTAATTTCTCCGGCAATTTTTCCTCCACAAACTGAAGAGCAACAACCAGCATTATCATCATAAAAATATTTGTAGTCCAGCAATTTGATCTGTAGCAGGTACAAAAGATAAAAAGAGGAAGAAATAGGGTAGAAAATAGATAGATGGAGAGAAAAGGAGAGGAAATCATGGGATCAAAGAAAGTTATCCCATCAACCCCAGCCTCTCATATATATACTGATTGTCTTTTTTTGTTCAGAAACACAGAAAGTTTTATTAATAACTTAAATTAGAAAAAGTTACAACAAGAGGTTGTGAAAACAGAGAAACGCATTACAGCAACAAACACCCCATCACCCTGTTACAATTGAACTGAATACATTTGTCGTTTATGAACACCTTGCTTAGCCAAACCATCTGCCAAATAATTAGCTGGCCTTCTTACCCATCTTACTTGAATGTTCAATGCCCTTGAAATCCACTTTAAATATCTGATTCATTTCAATAATGCCAACCCACCCCCTTACCTTTCTTCAACCACCCCACTACTATCTTCAAATCCCCTTCAATAACCAACCTTACAATCCCCATCCCTTTAGCTTTTTGTACCCCAAAAATTGCTACCATAAGCTCTGCTCTGACTGAATCACCCCATTCTATTGGACCTAAATACAATGCACAAATATTACTACCTTTCATTCCTTATAATAACTCCGATTCCTGAGGGCCCAGGATTGTCTAAACTGCTACCATCAAAGTTTAATTTCATCCAACCACCAATTGGGCAACTGGGGATGACCGGACCTCAAGAAGTTTTTGCTTTCTAGAGGAAGAGTTAGCTATTGCCCCTCAATTCCTAAAGAAATTGACCACTGTAAAGTATGAGTTTAGTGTCTTCACCTAATGTTCAACTATTAAGGTTACAAGTTCAATAACTGTCTCCTTACTCTTTTCTTTTTTCCCAAAAATTCTGGTGTCCCTCTCTTCCCTAACTATCCAAGCACCACTGCTCTTGTACATCTCCACTAAATTCTACCCATTCTTTTTTGTGCTCCTCAGGATAGATGGGCAAAACAACCCATACAAACTGACAAGGGGGTTCCACCTATAACCAAAAAGAGAACAAAACCATTCCCAAATACAGCAAATGAAAGGATAGGAGATTTAGAGATGGTAGGCAATCTCACCATTCAACTTACACAGAAAGCGCCAATTAGGGGACAAGGACCAAGTTGGTCTTTTCTTTTGCAACTTACAAGGAATTATTGTAGCATCCCTAATTAATCAATTTCCAATAATGACAACTTTACCCCCATTTACACATCATACTTTCTTCAGAAATAGTTTGTGAGTTTTACGTAAGGTCCGTGAACAAATTAGAAATTAATATATCGCTACTAGTTGGGTGGCACAAGCGAAGAGGGGAGAGAGGTACAAGGCATAAACCTCCACTACCTAGAGCCATGAGGTTGAGGCATGATTCAAAATGTAAGAGGCGTAAGCCTCCCGAACACAAGGAGGTTTAAGCCTCCTTAAGAGGAGGGGGATGAGGAGGAACTCGTCTTTTCTTTTTTCTTTTTTTTTTTTTTATGAAAGATGTCTTACATTAAGAAGAATGAAGATGCATACCTAATACAAAAAAAGGGCTGCATTGAAAAGGTGTTGGGGGCGAAGCCCCCAGCCCAAACTTTCTTTTCCCTTCTCTTTCCTTCCTTTCCCTTTCCTTTCCTTTTCTTTCTTTTATCTCTTTTTCTTTCCCTTTTCTTTTTTTGTCTTTTTGTATGATGTGTGCATGAGGCGAAAAGCATACGAGGCATACACCTCTTGCACTTGAGGCATATGCCTCAGGGCATTTTGGAGGCGCCTCGCCTGGAGGCACACCTCTAGGCATACACCTCCCATGCCTTTTAAAACTCTGAGGAAAAAAATAAACTAAAATTTTTTAATGGTTATTTTGACATGGAGCCAAGGCAATTATCCGAAATTCAGCATTTAGTATAGATAAACTACCATTAAGGGTCAACATGAGGATGGTGATTGAATTGGATAAACATATTCAGGATGTGGTCCCATGGTGCAGGTTGTGTGCATTTGGATTATATGCAAAATCAGATTTAAGAACAAATACCTTAGAAACATTAGGTTTTAAAACAAATTGGACAAAAACATAATATATGCAATGTAAATTTAATAATAAGAATTGAAATCAAGGTAGGCTTACCAACTGATGCTGGCTCAGTTGGTAATTTCTCTTGCTTGTTGTAGCAGAGAATTGGGATCAAATCTCGTCGCCACCAAACTTAGGATCAATGTGGCTTCTTCCATTGCCTTAGTTTGATAATCCATGACAAGGGGGAGATTGAGGAGGCTGTCACACATAGAATTAGGGTACGATGGGAAAAATGGAGAGGTACATCCAAAGTCCTATGTCATGGGAGAATACAATTTAGGCTAAAAGAAAAATTTTATAGAACAGTTACAAGGCCAGCAATGTGTACTTGTACAGAGCATAGTGTTGGGTAGTCAAGAAACAACATATCCAAAAATGAGTGTTGTAGAAATGTGAATGTTGAGATGGATAAGTGGGGAAATTAGAAAGCAAAGGATCAAAATATAAATTCATTCAAAGGAACCTAGAAGTAGTTCCAATAGGTGATAAAATGAGGGTAAGAAAATTAAGATGGTTTCAACAAAATGTAGAGAAGGCCACCAACAACATCAGTAAGAATAATTGATCTCTTACAAGTTGAAGGGGCTAGAAGAGCTACAAGCATACCAAAAAGGGCATAGGTTGAAGTATGAAGAAATTAATTAGGAATCCTTGGTTTAACAATGGATGTGGCACCAAGTAGAACTGAATGCCAAACAGAATTCGTTTAGCTGAACCCATATAGTTGAGACAAGGCTTAGATGATGACAAGGATGGTGATTGAAGATTATGTCCAGTGCATTTTCCAATGAAATAGCAACATCTTTACATCATAATGTTCTAGTACTAGATATACCTGCCCTATGTAAGGGCAATTACTACAATCAAGCATAGAAAGAGCAATAACAGTGATGTATTGAACCATATTACAAATCAAAGATGCCTGAGGCATCCATCCACTATCCTTCCAAGTAGAGTGTTTCAAATCTTAGCAGTAAAATGCTTCAAATCTCTACACTTTGATCAAAACAGCAGTCAAACTAGAGATATGCATTGAGTTATTTAGGAACAAATTCTTCATTCAGCTCTGTACAAGGATCAATTTCTGTTGCTTAACCCACGCAATTGGACATTTATATGAGGCACTAACAGATTGTGAAAGGAGTTACGATTTCAAATTTCAGTCCATTGACATCCATCATGAGCAATCTGAAAAGAGTTTAATTTTTAGCCCTACTGACTCTTGTCTGAATCACATTGGAAGAAGGAATTTAAAGAGGCAAATGGCAGTTAATACTAACAGAAAGAGATAGCAGGCATATACACTAAACACCAATGAAAAGGATGACCAAATATTAAACAAATAAAACAAGAAAACTGTTTATTTATGCAGCTAGTGCATTATCGGGTAAATCTAATCAGAGATTCAGAACAATTATATTTTGGACAGCTTGAGCAACTAGTCTAAGAGCATTCACTTGGAAAGCATGATATCACAGATCAAGGAACAACAAAAAACAAGATTTGGAAGCATTAAGAAACAGTCTAAAGAAGACAAAGCTGCAAAAAAACAAATATAACAGATTTCCTTTGTTTATGGAACAAAAGAAAAAAAAATTAAAAAAAAAAAATCCAAGTGATGCACTTCAAACTCAAGTTACCAAACAAAGTCAAAAGTGTATAGCAGATCTCCTGTCAAAATATGCAATGAACTTGAAAGTTAGCAAATATACAACCGCAGTAGTAATATTCAAGTATTTTAGATAACTTTTCTAAATTCCTTTACTACATGCACCCCTTAATCCATAGAAGAATTATGTAATCAATCCAGACCATACATCTGAAGTACAGAGTGGTAAATTGGTCAGTCCCATTCAATTCAGACCATGCACCCCATTCACATCAACCATGCATCCTACCATTCATTGTGTTCTTATTTTAATAATTTTTATTAAGGGGATGAAGCAAAGATGTAGAACCTCTTCAAAAAAGAAGAAGAAAAAAAACAGATGTGGAACCTTTTTCCGGTCACCGACTAAGCTTTCAATCCAATGTAAAACAGTGTAAGGGGATGATGCCTGCTAATGTTCCAAAGTAGAGCAATTTTAACACATCAGCTTCTTAATAGAACGAACTTTAGGACCTTTCAAGCATTCTCTTGATAGGAAGGGAAGCAACTGAGACATGACAAGGTGGAAATTACGTTTGAGCATGGCAGATACCAAGCATAATCGATTTTTTAATCAAGCACTGCGTCTAGCTGATGGAATGGGAACGAGAGTGAATGTGTCAAACCTAAATAATTATGAAACCAGGAGCATACAATCCCCTCTTTCTCAACAAGAAGATGGACGACAACTATAAGACAAAGCTTACACTTGCTTCAACCAAACTCCAACAGAAACCCTAGACTACTCCGAAAGAAGAATTTAAAGGGAAGAAGCGCCAGATTGTGGCGCATGTGATACCTGTAGCGAGGAAGAAGCCGAAGAAAAACTGCTTAAAGTGATGGCTGCTGCTCGCCGTTCGTGAAGGATGCTCGACTGCTAGCAGCAGAGTTCGATGAGACGAAAACAAATGGGACAGAATGTGTCAAAACCCCAATTCTGTGAGGTTATTTTTGAACAATAAAAAAATTATCTAAAGAATCGCTGACCACACATCGAGAGAGGTTGCTTACTTGCTTCTAACAGCATTTTAGCTTTCTTTGGTTGGTGACCAATCAGTTGGTACACATCAAATTTTTTGATTTTTTTTATAATCAAATTTTCGAGTCATCGGTTCAACCGTCCGAGTCGAACGATTCAACATATGACGTTTTTGTTCTGGAGGTGTAATGTGATCCATGGCCAGCACGGGCACGGCCCACTTTTGTAGGCTGTGCCGGGCCAGCATGACCCACTTTTGCGGGCCACCCACATTGTAATGGGCCATGCTAGGTTGGCACATAGGCCTAGGCGGGTCATTCCTGCCTGGCCCAGAACCCCTCAAAATGGAAGCCTAGCACAAGCCCAGGAAGGCCTGAGACGAGTCATGGGTGATTATTTTTTTAGAAAAACTAAAAAATAAAAAAAAAAAATGTTAAAATAAATTATCAATGTAGACAAAAGATAAAAAAAAATCTTAAAATTTTATTCTATTTTAATTTTGATGTATGTAATTGCTTTATGTGAAATAATAAAATAAATTTAAAAAGAATACAATAAAATTAGAATAAAATAGTATAATAAAAATTAAAAATACAAATTCATATACATATATATATATGTATTTATTAATATATTATTATATTATT